AAGTGGTGGAATGTATAGCTGCTCTTCGTAAGGGTTTCATCATTGAGCAAGTATGTCCTCTATCCCTCTGTTTTCTACGCACCCATCCATGCATGTATATGTTATCGAAAATTCCCAATGTGCATTTTCCTGATTAGATAATGATGATGGTGGTGCTTTTGCTTGACTGTATTATAATCTCGGTAGTTCATAAGGAATTGTATCTGAATTCCTAAGTTTAGCATTCTACAAAACATCTATCAGTGTATTGGTCCTATGTTACATACAGACATTTTCCATTGCAGGAGCCAGCACCCTACAACGATTTAATGCGCCAGCTTCGCCAGTATTGCCAGGGGAAAGGAATCGAAAGTCTTCCACAACTTCTTGCATCAGGGGATCTCACTTTGATCTCCAAGTCAGAAGCTGAAGACAGGTTCCGCGGCATTCATTGAATACTTTAAAATATTCTCATTACTTCTATAAGCCAACTTAATTCTATGTCAATTTTTTTAATGTTACTTTTCTTTCTGAGCAGCAACGATACATATGAGGAGGCGAGAAGCTTTTTCGTTAAAATGGAGCAAAACCCCTAGGATTAGAGGTCTCTACATTTCTGTTTTTCTATTGTGTAGTTGGTTCTCATTTAATGTGCAGTAAACATAACCCTTTTCTTGTTGACCCGAGCAAAGATTATTTAAGATATATCAGTATTTTAGACTCATAATGTGTTAACAGTATTTTTGTCGTTATAATTATGTCTAAAGTGAGTAGTGTTAGAGGATCTTTCGATTGTTCGGTCGGAATGAACAATCGGAATCTTCAATAACCGGAAGGTATTGTGTGACCATGGTACCTTGTTTGTTGTTTTAGTTCTAGGATTTTAATCGACGCTGCAAAGGGTTTTGGGAGAGTCGCGATTAGGAAGGACATGATCCGTAGATTGTGTAGTATTTACCTTGTATATATTGCCACTATATAGAGGACCCCGTCGAAGGGTTTGAAAGTTTGAGGACTGAATTGTAGAACGGGGAGAGCTTGGAAGACCAATTGGCGAATAATGCATAGTTAGATGTATTTAAATATTATTACAAAATTATTTCTAAAAATATTAATTATTAAAATATTTAAAATATATTTATTAATAATGTTATTTATTATATTTGATGTTTATAAAAAAAATCAATAACAGAAGTTTTCTATAAAGTCATTCAAACAAATATAATTTTTCACGAGTGATTTTTCACAAAATAAACAAATATATATTAAACTTCTACATGTATGTATTTATGTTTCAATCAAATCATGATAGTAAACTTATTTTGTTTGCCTACCTCTGCTGTGTCTTTTTGAAAGGAAAAAAATCAGAAAGGTCAAACTGGCTGATGCCATGCAACAAGGAGATACCTCAACACTGTAAAAGAAGTTGCAGTTCAAGTATGAGAAAAGAATGGTAGGTAGAACCTATTTGAATTTGATTTACCAGCATAAAATTAACAATTATTTCTGATAATTTTATATCTTCAAGTTTGAATAAAAAAATTATTTTAAATGAATGATATGAGATTACTTAGAGTGTTAACATTCAGTAATATTTATGATAGTTTTATCTGATAGTAATGAGATTGTATAGTAAACTTGTTAAAAAAATAAATTCTATTCATTGACTTCTCATTTTTTTTTATTGTTAATCTCATGTTTTTGTTTTTATTCATGTAATACACTGTGTAATTGAATCATATCTCATACCCAAACTTAAAAATAAATAGAAAACAAAAACATAAACGTACTTATTCAAACTGAATTTATTAAGTTAAATTTGGATAAGAGAAGGAAAAGAAAAAACTTTACCGTGGCATGATATTTCTTTGTAAAATTTATATCTATTTCATAATTTATAATTGAGATTTATGATTCCTCTCTCAATAATATTATCTCTAGAATTTGGCATAAATTTTCCACTTAAGAATGCAATGGCATTGCACTCAACCTTTGTATGTGCCGTGGAATGATGTTGATATACACAATGTTTTCCAAGATTGCATTTGTAAAAGAATTGTTGTAGGCATAAATATTAATTAATATTCAAGTTAACATTACGGTCGCTGGCGTGTTTTGTTGGGCAGATAATTCCAGTGTGATGTAAGAATTTAAACATGTTGAATTGATGTACAGAGAGATCAGCAATGGAAATTGTTGTGAAAGCATTGACTTTTAAGGTAAACAATGCGGAGGAAAATCAACAAATGGAATATGCCGCCGGTAAGATTCTGAGTGATCGACGTCTGATGTATTTAAAAACCCTCACTTCGTATCACTCTTCACTCACCAATTCATCTTACTAACTCAGCCCTCTTTGTTCCTCTTGTGGACGAACTGCAGGTCTCCTTCGGGTTAAAAAAGGTCAGGTAACTGTTCTAAAGCTTTAACCAATACATTATTGCATGTGAAATTATGTTTGATTGTCGTCAAAAGTTTTAGATGTTGGGATTAGAATCCTTGATCGCCAGACCTGCTAGATGTCACCGTTAGGGTAGTAAATGAACTCAGTTTAAACTAACAAGGTTCTCTTCAAATTCATTTGCTTAAAATTTAAGGTATTCATGTTCGTTTAAATTTTTAATATCGTGTTCTTTTTTAAGGTGTTTGTGTTCAATTCGTTTAGTGTTTGCGAACATGTTCATTTATATGTCCTAGAAAATTATGAAGTTACACCCCTATTACTTAAGACCCTTAGACTTCATAATTTGAATTCCAAAGTTCATCATGGTTTATGTTTAGCCCCTACTTAAACTAATATTTAAAATGTAAAAATAAAAGGAAAATGAGAACTTGTTAAATGAGTTTGTTTGTGACAATAAACAAACTGAACATATTTCTATTCGTGTTCATTTGTTTATTAACTGAACACAATTTTTTATAATACTCTTTTATTTAACTTAATAAATAAACGTTATATGAATAATTCACGAATAATTTATCAAATGTTTTGTTCATTTACACTTGTAGTCACCTTACATGGATGACTATACGAACCTGAGCTAAGCTGTTCCTGTTGGGTTCTTGGTTTCGGTATTTGGGATTTGATTCTAGCACGGTTTGTTGTTCCCTTGAATTCCTTTAGTTCAAGGCAGACTGCAGTTATACTCTTGTTATTTTTCAACTTTTTCAAGTAGAAGACAACCATGGCTAGAAACCAGCTTGGAGTTCTCAATGCTCTTGATGCAGCAAAGACACAGTGGTACCACTTCACTGTAATTGTAATTGCAGAAATGGGATTTTTCACCAATGTTTATGACTTATTTAGCATCTCTCTTATCACTAAATTGCTCGGTCGAATTTACTACCATGTTGAAGGTGCCCCGAAGCCTGGAACTTTGCCTCCTAATGTAGCGGCTGCCGTTACTGGTACAGCCTTTGTTGGCACTTTAGCCGGTCAGCTTTTCTTTGGCTGGCTTGGTGATAAATTAGGTCGAAAAAAAGGTTTACGGACTCACCCTGATGCTCATGGTGATCTGTTCGATTGCTTCCATACTTTCCTTCGGGAAGTCTCCGACCCGTATTATGACGACACTTTGTTTCTTCAGGTTTTGGCTTGGTTTCGGAATCGGTGGAGACTACCCCATCATGTCCGAATATGCAAACAAGAAGACTCAGAGAAGCGTTTATCTCTGCTGTGTTTGCGATGCAGGGATTGGGGATTTTGACTGGTGGGATCCTTGCACTTCTCGTCTTGGTTCGATCATGCCTATAAGACGCCTACGTATTCGGTCGCTGGAAAAGACTCGACTGCACCGGAAGCTGATTATATTTGGCGGATCATACTCATGTTCGGAGCAGTTCCTGCACTTCTAACATACTACTGGTGTATGAAGATGCCCGAAACAGCTCGATACATGGCCCTTGTCGCTAGGAATGCGAAACAGGCTGCTTCGGACGTGTCCAAGGTCATGCAAGTAGAGATTGAAGCTGAAGAAGAGAAGGTAGATAAGATCGGAACTGCTTCATCGAACTCCTTTGGTCTATTTACTAGGGAATTCGCTCAACGCCATGGACTACACTTACTAGGAACAAGCGTGTGTTGGTTCTTATTAGACATTGCCTATATTAACAATCTGTTCCAAAAAGACATCTTCAGTGCCATTGGCTGGCTTCCGAAAGCCGAAACCATGAATGCGATTCACGAGGTTTATCGAGTCGCCATGTCACAAACGATCATTGCACTTTGCGGCACAATCCCCAGATATTGGTTTACGGTGGTGTTCATCGATTATATCGACAAGTTCACGATTCAATTGATGGGGTTCTTTTTTATGACCGTGTTCATGTTTGCTCTTGCAATCCCTTACGATCACTGGTTATCCAACAGTGCCGGGTTCCTCATCATGTATTCGTTGACCTTTTTCTTTGCAAATTTTGGACCCAATGCCACCACATTTGTTGTGCCGGCTGAGATTTTCCCAGAAAAGCTGAGGTTGAATTGCCACAGCATATCGGCCGCTTCCGGCAAACTCGTGGCCATAGTCGGGGCTCTCGGGTTCCCGTATGCGGCACAAAACAAGGATCCATCGAAGACTGACGCAGATTACCCGCCTGGCAATGGGGTTAGAAATTCATTGTTTCTGCTTGGAGGGATCAACTGCCTTGGGATATTCTTCACCTTTTTGGTTCCTGAATGTAAGGGAAAATCATTAGAAGAAATTACAGGAGAAAAGGAAGAGGCTGATGCTAATGATATGCAGCAGGCTTCTTCAACTCAAACATTCCCAGTCTGAATTAGCAAAGTTTATGTAATGATTTGTGGATCAAAATATCATGTAAAATAGCAGCATAAAAGCTTATATGAAGTTGAACTGTTGAAGAATTAGAATAATGTCAACTAATAGTATGATAATCCAACCTTGGCTTGTAGTTTACACTAAACGACGCCGGCTAATACTCAAATCGACTCCATTGCTGGATGACAACGACACACATGCATTTTGGCCGTTGAAAACCGTTAAAAAGATGATAATATCTGAAGTTTTATTTTTTTTCCAAATAATATCTAAAGATGATAATATCCAAAAAGCCTGGGGACACAAGTTCCATTGTAGAATCTAAAACCCAGAAAGCAGAGTTCAATGCTTATCTGTGCGAATCTAAACCAGCCTTGGAACTCGCCGCTGCCAACTGTACTTCTTCTCCAGAAATGCAAGTCTTCAAACGACGTGAACCAAATCCACGCCCGTTTGATAACAACCGGTTTCATCAGAAACCGAATTATCACCACCAAAATCGTCCTCGCTTTCTCCCCTTCACCGTTCACTCCTTTAGTCGATTTTGCTCGCTTTGTCTTCTTCAAGCACATTGCTTTTCGCTCGCCTGAACACCACGGGGAAGACCCTTTTCTTTGGAACGCTGTGATAAAGTCGTATTCTCACGGGCGTGACGCGCGGCAAGCTTTTGTCATTCTCCGTTTGATGCTTGAAAACGGGGTTCCTTTGGATAAATTCTCGTTGTCTTTGGTGCTTAAAGCTTGTTCTCGATTGGGTTTAGTGAAGAAAGGAATGCAGGTTCATGGCTTGCTGAGGAAGCTGGATTTTGGGTCTGATTTATTTTTGCAGAATAGTTTGATTTCTTTGTATGTACGCTGTGGGTTTATTGGATATGCGCGTCAGTTGTTTGATAGAATGTCTACACGGGACTCTGTTTCATATAATTCGATGATTGATGGGTATATTAAAAGGGGAGTGATTGATTCAGCAAGAGAGTTGTTTGACTCTATGCCACTTGGGGATAAGAACTTGATAACTTGGAATTCCATGATTAGTGGTTACACGCAGTTGAAAAATGGGATGGATTTGGCTTTGGAATTGTTTGACAAAATGCCTGATAGGGACTTGATTTCTTGGAACTCAATGATTAATGGGTTTGTAAAGTGTGGAAATATGGAAGATGCCCAGGATTTGTTTGATAAGATGCCGAAACGAGATGTCGTCAGTTGGGCTGATATGATCAACGGATATGCTAAAATAGGTAAGATTGATCTAGCTAGGTCTTTGTTTAATGAAATGCCAGAAAGAGATGTTGTTGTGTGTAATGCCATGATGGCTGGTTATGTCCAAAATGGATATTGTGCGGAAGCTTTGGAAATATTCTATCATTTGCAAAGGGATGGTCATTTGCAACCTGATAGTACCACATTGTTGATTGCTCTTTCAGCAATTGCACAGTTAGGGCTTATTGACAAAGGGTTGGCACTAAATCACTATCTAAAGCAAAAGAAGTTCTCTATGGGTGGAAGACTTGGGGTTGCCCTAATTGACATGTATTCGAAATGTGGGAGCATAAAGAATGCCGCGTCGGTTTTCGAGGGTACCGAATTCAAGACTGTCGATCATTGGAATGCTATGATTGGTGGGTTAGCCATTCATGGCATGGGTGAATTGGCTTTCAATTTGCTCATGGATATGGAAAGGCTATCTGTAGAGCCTGACGATATCACATATATTGGGGTGCTGAATGCTTGTGGCCATGCTGGCTTGGTCAAGGAAGGTCTGATTTGCTTTGATATCATGAGAAGAGTTCACAAAGTGGTACCGAAACTGCAACACTATGGATGCGTGGTCAACATCCTAGGCCGGGCGGGGCTGGTAAACGAAGCAAGAAAGTTTATCGAGGAAATGCCTATCAAAGCTAACGATGTGATTTGGAGGAGTTTGCTAAGTGCCTGCAAAAACCATGACAACATCAATGTTGCAGAACCAGCAGCTAAGCGGTTAATCACACTGGACTCTTGTAATTCGAGTTCTTATGTACTTTTATCCAACATGTATGCTGGCCTGGGTATGTGGAATTCTGTTAGTAGGGTTAGGTTGATGATGAAAGAAAGAGATCTGAAGAAAATTCCCGGTTGTAGCTGGATTGAACTAGAGGGAACTGTTCATGAGTTCTTTGTTCAAGATAAGTCCCATCCCCAAGTTATGGAGATCTATTCTTTGTTGGATAGTTTTTCAGCATCCAATTCAAGAGTCGCACCTTGTATGCTACTGAATTAGTGTAACATAATTTTCAATTACTTATTCAATAACATATTGATAGCATTTTTCGTTCTGTCCACAATTCTAGTACTATTACTCCATTTCGACACTAAAATTTCCAGCAACTAATAAACAAGAATCAGTGGCTATTAAGGATTCCAAATTCAGAAATTTTAAAAAACAAAATATTGAAACATAAGTAAAAGCAATGTCAAACTTCTTTCTTGAGCTGTTTTACTACATTAATTGTGACAGGCTTAACTTCATGAAGCAATTTCGAGCAGATCATAACATTGCATCAGATTGTATCGCAGACAACGAGGATAACATCGACTCCACATTGTATTTGTTGAAGCATCTGGTTCAAATACTGATCCGAATGCAAAAATAGCGTCATCGTTCTGACTAAACATAAACGAGCTATCTCTATGGATGAAAAGCAAATGCACAAAAAGTTTTAGTTTTCCAGATGAGAACATCTTAGATCAAATCTAACACTTCATGAAATACTGAGAAATTCTTTAAACATCTCCTTCAAGTACACTGCTCAAAGAAAGAACCCATCAGTATTTCATATTCTCCTTTCGATGAACAAATCCATGTAACTTCATTATAGGCGACATAAATTCTGCTCACGTCATATAAGAAAAGATTTTTCAACCACAGAAGACTGGTAAAGGCACCACTTTACATGAAAATGCAAAAGCTGTAATAAATTACATCAAAAGATGACTTCAAGCGGATGCTTCTAAAGATAAGGATCTTTTAGTTGTACATGGACCAGACCAAGAAGGAATAAAGCTAGTCGACTACGATTGCCTAGCATCACACTATTTGTTCACGTGAACGATTCTTCGATCATGGACCATGCCAGATAGCACTACTTAAAGAGTGTATACAGCTCAAAAAATCATAAAGCGGGTAACAACAGAATGGCTATTCCAAAAGTTCAACAGCCGATAGACACAACTTGTTCAAACCATAAATAGTTGTCAATTCTTAAACAGCAACTCAATGAAACATATTCCAGAAACCGTATCATATTTATTCATTTATAGGAGCAATTCCTCTATGCTTTTATCGGTGTCAAAGTCGGGAAAAATACCCTATCTAAAAAGCAAAAGAGCATAGCAAGACATCAACAACAGCACATTACTTTTACAAAAGTGCAATAGAGATTGACTTATAATTATTATAGTAAGTGTATTTCCTTTTCTTCTTTTACTGTGATGGGGGGGGGGGAGCGGGGGATTTGCAAACATTAAAAGAAAAGATCTTCAAACGCGACCAAAGGAAAGAAAGATCATATTATCCAGTTCTATTTTATTGGAATTGCATGCCAATGATACATTTCCAACGATCAGCTTATGCTCTATACATGAATTCTAAATGCCAAAACTACAACAATTACATTCCATGGCACAGAAAAATGAAGAAAAAAAAGATTTTCCAGTGTTCTTTGATACAACGTGTGACTGGCCAGCAAACAATGTTCAGTTATCGCAAAACTTCTTCCATGTAGGACACAGTGTCCTCCCTTATAGGCCATCACTAAAGATGTATGAAACAACGATAATTGCCTAATGAACAGAGAAATGTTAAAAACAATGATATGAATGGTAATGAACAAGAATTTGGAGGATCCTACCACAATTCAAAGAATGAATCAGCTAGCAGCCTTCTCTACGCCGGAATAGTAGCTGAGATACCACCTGACAAATTTCTTCAAACCAGTCTGCAAATCAGTTGAGGGCTTATACCCAAGCTCCCTCCGAGCCAAGCTAATATTGGCATGAGTAAACTGAACATCCCCGTTTCGTGGCAACTTCATAATTTCCATCTTAGCATTAACTTTCAAAAGCCTTTCCAAGATACTAACAAGATCCGAAACAGGCACTGGCGAAGTATTCCCCAAATTATATACCCTCAATTGAGCCGGACCCTTCTTCTTCCCTCCACTACCAGTACTCTTCTCAGCAGTATCCAGCGCTGCCAAACACACTTTCACAATATCGTCAATGTAGGTAAAATCCCGAGCCACCGTACCATGATTAGCCGCTTCGAATATCGGTATGGACTTCCCCTTCAAGATATCCCTAGTGAAAAAGAAATAAGCCATATCCGGCCTTCCCCACGGACCATAAACCGTGAAAAACCTCAAGCCAGTTAAAGAAAGACCATATATATGATTATAAGTATGTGCAATCTCTTCACCAGCTTTCTTAGTAGCAGCATATAAACTAGCAGGCTGATCAGTCCTATCTTTCTCAGAAAATGGAACTTTGGTATTAAGACCGTAAACCGAACTCGAGGAAGCCCACACGATCGCAGGCTGTGGATTGGCTGACTTACATACTTCTAGTAAACTAACAAGACCAGCAATATTGCTATGCACGTAAGAGCTAGGATTTTCCATTGCATACCTGACCCCAGCTTGAGCAGCCAAATGCATAACGTGGCTAAATGCAACGACCTCGAAAAGCTTTTTTAAAAGGGCAGAATCATTGATATCTCCTTCAACAATGAAAACTCCACTTCGTTCCAGAAGCGCTTGCCGAGCTCTTTTCAGTGAAGGGTCATAATAGTCATTGAAATTATCAAGTCCAAGAACACCATCGCCGCGCCTTTTCAAAGCAGCCGACACGTGGGTACCGACGAAACCAGCAGCTCCGGTGACCAAAACGGAGATGCCATTGCGGGAACGGGCACGCGCGGAGGAACGAACCCTTTTCTCCCAAGCGGGCCCGCCCCAGTTATACGTACGAAGCGAGCGCCGAGAGGGATCTTGCGGGAGAGAATTGGACGAAGGAGATCGGAAGAAGAAGATCAAGATCAGGCCCAAGAAGATAAATGACCAAAATGCGAGCTTTGCAAGAGAGGAATGCCACCTCAGCCTGTTGTGAACGAAGGGTGATTTTTCCATCTTGAATTTCCCCGGCGTCGATGGAATGTTGTCAAGATGAGACATTTGTTTTGACATCTCTAAGGTTATGTGGAGCAAAAAAAGAAGACGTTGAAATTGGATATATTTACCTACTTGTCTATTTTATCAGGATTTGGAGTAATAGTTATCTCAGCTTCGGTGGTGGCGGAGGAAAAGGAAGTTGCTCTTCTCTTTGGGGTGGTGGACCTCTCCCGTGGTAGCTCTGTTTTATATTGTGATGAAAATGGAGCCTTTGAAGGGAAAATGGTCGGCCTGTTTGTTGTTCAGTTTAGTTTCCCTTCCAATGGCTCTAAAAATAAAACAGAGAGATCAATTAAGATATGATTTTTTTTCCAATTAAAATTACATGATTGATTCAATTAACTAGGTTAAAAATAGCAACTTTCAACATCTTCTTGTTCATCTTCTTTTGTTAAGAGAAAACAATTAATTCAAAGAGATGGACGTATTAAACTAATAAAACAGAAAAGTAATCAAACTTTCTCTGGAATTTTCTTTAGAAATCTTAGATTTTAATCTATTTTAAGCTAAGCTAGAATCATGTGGGATTGTAGATAGCAATCCACATTGTTAAATTCTCAAGAAACAAGTACTACGCTAAACAAAGCTTTGCTTTTACTTCATTTGCAAACTCGTCAAAATTAAACAAGAGTGAGCTTCAAGGTTAATTATACACCAAACTCAGACCAACAGAGTTCTTATACAACATTGCCCCTCACCTTATCATCTTCAAATTCTAATTTCATGGATTATCAAATAAGACCCAAATTTTGTTGAGAAATAAACGAGTAACGAGTAATTTCCCTATAACCAGATTAGTAAGAATGCGAAATAAAAGCGGAAAATAATATCCGAAATTGATAACGGAGTTCAGCCAATTTTGTTTACGTCTCTGGACTGCTGCAGATCTTTTACTAAAGAGAGAAAATTTACAGGTGTTTACAAAACACTCACAAGAAAACTCTCTAAACTCTTTAGTATGGGAGGAATAAATGATTTGGGATGGTTTTGAAGCTAAATGAGATAAGGTATTTATAGTTGAAGCTTAGGGATTAATCTTATAAATATCCTAAAAATGCAATGACTAAAGTTGCAATATTCTCATTTTCATTTTCATTTTCATTTTCAACAAAAACAACACCGAAATCGGTGCATTAATTCCCAGCCAAAATTGTTGAAAGTTTCTTGCTTATGCTTAACTTTTCAATAATCTCCCACTTGAAGACTAATTTTAATTTGTCTTCACACCTCGACCGATGCAGTAATATTTGTGGTCTTGTTACTATAGAATACCAACTGAAGCTGAACACAACTTCAGTTTGTCTGTAGTCACCGTCCTGTAAACCCACTTGTTATTGGGCAGTTTCTCCGTGGTTGCCCTGTCCCTCAACGTCTTGGCTCCCTTCGACTCTTGTCCACTAGTCTTTGAAGGATTTTTCTTCACTTGAACATCCTCGGCAAGCCCTTGTTTCGACCCTTCTCTTAAGATGGTTTCTGAAGCCATGTTCTCTACACGAACATGCTCAGCAAACTCTTTGGACACAGACAACTCTTCTTGCACTTGGCTTCTACTCGCATTGGCAGTAACAAACCGTACTGAGCCAAGTCTCAACACCTCTTCGATCCTGGGTTCGTCCACTTTTCTGAACAACTCGATCCTGGGCTCATCCATCACCTTGGATGACTCGACTCCCCTCGGGTAATCTTGCAACGCTTCTGGCATCTTAAGTTTGCGCCCCCTCGTTTGCTCGACTCTTACTCTCGGCTTAGCATCTTTGACACTTGAACTTGTGCCAAGACTGCACACATCTTCCCCAGACTTACCATCCGGTTCATCATTGAGTGGACTTTCTCTGCCACTCGAGGAACAATATTCCTCATCCTCTAACTTGTCTTCCTTATGGATTCGCTTGCCACTACCCTCGGCTTTCGGCTTTGTTTTGGAAGTCTTGTTTTTCTTGACTCCAAATTCTTTGATGGACTCGGAGGTTTTCAAGGCTTTAGACAACTCCTTGAATTCCCTTCGCTCCAACACTTTCTTCGCCCATGGCTTTAATCCGAACATGAAGGTGAAGAATCCATCTTCTTCAATCAAACTCGGGACTTTGAGCATGAG